CCCAGCCCCAAGGAGACCTGACTCTTGCCAGGCAAGGTTAGGAGGAAGTTTATACTCAGGCAGACAGAGCAGTGTGTTATGCCCAACTCCAGGATGCCCCCTGCTGACCTAGTGCTTGTAGCAGGAAGTGATCAACTGTCTCTGGGGACAGTCGCCCCAAGCTCCCTAACTACCAGGAAGTCTCAAATCCCCAAGAAGTGACACTGCTGGGCTGGTTCTTTTAACACCCTAGTACCAAAAAAAAAAAATCAATCTTAAGTAAGTGAAAACAGCCAGGTGCGGTGGTGTATGCTTGGGTGTAAGCCCACCACACTTGGAGGCTGAGGCAGGAGAGTTGCAAGTTCGATTCCCACCTGGATAACTTAGCTAGACCCTGTCTCAAGATTTTAAAAAACACATATTATTTTTTGATATATATATTAATATATATATATAATTTTTTTATATGAGCAGGGATGTAGCTCATTGTGGAAACCTGGGGTTCAGTCCCCAGTACTGCAAAAAACAAAACCCCAAACAAACAAAAAAACGCCTAAATGTGTCTGCCCACCCCTTTTCCCTATACCATCCCTGCTCATTTCTTCCCTCCCCCAGGCCAACTTCACCCCACAGTTTGCACTGCCTTATTGGAAATTAACCAGAACTCCTCAGCCTATGCTAGTCAGCCTGTGCCCATCAGGCCATTTTTAAGCTCATCTCAGTACAAGTCATGTTGCTGTCATTTTTGAGACATCATCTGCTGTGCAGTTCAAGCTGGCTTTGAATGCACTATGTAGCCCAGGCTGGCCTTGAACTCCTGTTGATCCGCCTGCCTCAGCCTCCCAAATGCTGGTCTGACAGACCTGCAGCACCACACCTGGCCTGTCTGATGCCTTTTTTGTTGGTATGGGGGATCGAACTCGGGACCTTGTGCTTGTGAGGCAGTCAGCAGAGCCACTGAGCTAATCCCCGGCCCTGTCTGATGCCTTCTGATGGAAGCCAACTTGCGGGAGGTGTGGAGTGTGGTCTTGGCAGGGGGGCACCGTCATCTGTATGACCTGCAGGGGCTCAGGTGAGAGTTGGCTCCCTGGGGACACTCGGGACCCCACCCCCTTGCCTTATGCATCTCTGTCCCGTTAGCTGCAATGCAGAGGAGGGACCACGCCTCAGGAAGCCACTCAGTGCCGTCAGTGCCGAGGCTAAGAAGCAGATGAGGCTCAGCGGGGCGGCTCCTACCCGGGGGAATCGCTGACCTGCTGGCTGCAGATGCAGTGGCCGCGCCACACTGGTGAGAACCGAAATGAGCGAACGCAGCTCCCTGCCCGCAACACCAGAGAGCGGGCCGAGGACGAGCTAGCAGGGAGTTCAGGCCAAGCACCCGGTTGGGATCCGGGTCTCTTCCATGTGACCTCCCAGCCGGATCCGCGCAGGGCTGCAGGCTGCGAGGTTTAAACGCATGAATGGAAAACGTCTCGCCTCCTCTCCCCTCCCACCCCCCACGCACCGCCCTCGCCCGGTCTGAACACCACGAGGTCTTTTAAAATAATTTCTACTTTGATGAATTGCTAGGGAGTCCGCGATCGCTCATAATCAAAGGGAGAAGAATGCAAATGAGATCCGGCCGAGAACTATCACCACCAAACGTTTATTTCACTGCGCAGTGCCAAAAAGAATTAAAACAACATTAAACTCACAGCAATCATGTTTAAGCCCTCGTTTCCAAGTGCCAAATTGCACCACTCTGGATCATACAGATGTTCGTTAATTATGCTAATTTTTATTAAACCATTAAAATGGAGAGCCCTGGCTCAGCCAGGCAGACCTCAGCTCTGAATGAACTCTGCTCTTGTCTAGAGGTGATAATTTACTACATTTTTATTAAGTTGCTGATTCTTGGATTTCAGCGCATGGATGGCAGAGAGAATTGAATTTCTGGGATCAGTGTTTTCCATAAAGCCCGACTTCTCTTCGCCCAGATGTTTGGAAAAACTGGAAAAATACTGCGACGCTCCCACACGACCTGCAGTCCTCAATTAGGATGTCTTTCTTTCTTCCTTCCTTCCTTCCTTCCTTCCTTTCTTCCTTCCTTCCTTTCTTCCTTCCTTCCTTCCTTCCTTTCTTTCTTTTTGGTACCGGGGATCGAACTCTGGTCCTTGTGCTTTCGAGGCAAGCGGCGGAAGCACTGAGCTAAATCCCCGGCTCGATTAGGATGTTTTTCTACCTTGAAAGTGGGGGATGCGCCTCTCCAAGTCACAACGCTGGGGCCTCGGAATTGTATGTGGTCTCCGCTCCTGAACGCTAAGATTTTAATGCTACAGAATTGGTGCCTGATGATGCTTTAGATGAGAATATAAAAAGTTACTTATTTTTTGGTTTTTATGGAGACAGGGTCTTGCCATGCAAAGGTGACCTCGAGCTCACTATGTAGCTCAGGGTGGCCTCGAACTGGAGACAATCCTCCTGCCTCAGCCTCTCCAGTGCTGGGATAAAAAGTTATTTATAAGAAACCCAACAAAATCCCTCATATCAGTGCTTGCTTCTTGCCAGAGTCACCTGAAAGAAGTAGTGTGTGGTTTGCTTTTCATCACGAATATTTCTCGGTTTGATTAAACATCTGTTCGCACACCACCCTTGTCTCACCTCCTCGAGCCCCTCCCCAACAAAGAAATCTTAAAAACGAAAGTCAGCTACTTGGACTCCACTACGGGGAGGGCGAAGCTGCTGTCCTGGAGGAGCAGAACCTGAAATAGATTTGGGGCTCACCGTCAGCGACAATCAGGCTTCACACAGCTGGAAAAAGGATTTATGCTGCTAATCGCCATCAACACGGAAAAAAAAAAAATCCTACCAAACCTGCCATAAAAAGGAGCAGCAAATTCTATAAACAAAAAGCAGTATGGCCACCGACGAAGAGGGGATGTCGCCCAGCGTGACCCAGCCTCCAGTGGTTTCAGCCTCCAGCTGTTTATGGTTGTGGGACGATCACGGGCCTCCTCGGTCTCCTCTTGTCACAGGGCCCGAGCCCCTGCATGGCGCTGAAATACCCTGTCAATAGGTGTCAGGGGACGTGAGGGGGAAACCAGCAGGCTCCCATCATAACCCTTAAAGGAGATTAAATACCCGCCCTCGGTGATTGCTACATTGTAATCTCCCTCTTCCCCGCTGATCCTATTTGTAGCTCTTCCCCGGCTCCCGTGGAGGAGTGCAGGCCCGACCTCGAATGACCATCCGGTCTTGGGATGCGAATTCAATTTCCAGGCTCAGTGACTGCCAGGCTGTTCCAACAAAAGGAAGTCACCATTCAGGAGGGCTCGGAGCTTTAGCCAAGTCCGAGCACCCCAGGCCTGGCCTGGTCTGAGCACTGGAAGCTCTAGCCTTCCCGCAGTGGGCATCAAGCGTTATGTGAGTCCGTCCCTGGACGGAGGCCCAGATTTCCATCGGATTCTCAAAGGGTTGATGAACCCCACAGACTCCCACCCAGTATTCCAGGGGGAAAATATGGTGTCTCTATGGTCTGAATCTGTACTTTGTCTTAATGTGGCACCTCCTACCCTTTTATGTAAGAAAGTACTGAAAGAGAATCAAGAGTCCAAATTCTTCCCATGATTCCTAGTCTTTGGATTTTTTTTTTTTTGAGACAAAGTCTCATTATGTAGCCCAGGCTGGTCTCAAACTCCTGGTGATCTTCCTGCCTCAGCCTCCTGAGTGCTGGGATAACAGGTGTGCACACCCGTGTCCTGCTGGGTTCCTAGTCTTGAACCCTTCACCGAGAGTGTGCTCCCTCTTTACGGGCCAACTGAGTTTGCTTATCCCTTCTAAAGCATTGCTCTCTTTAACTGTGACTTAAAAATTGTGGCACCTTCTCCTAGCGTCCATTCAAACCCACAGCGGGCAAGCAGCTTGCCACGCCCAGTTCCCTGAGAACCTTCCTACTAGAATCTTTCTCTTTCCCATGAACTTGGTTCCCAAGCCTCCATGGAACAAGATTCCCAGAAAATGTCTCCTACTTGTGTTCTCTCGGCCACCGAAGTTCACAACATCAGTGCTATAAACAGGAGACTCCCTCTTCCAGACCACAATCCATCAGCCTTGAACACAGCCGATCAATAAATGCTTGATATAAGTATGGGGATGCCGATCAATCACACAGTATTGGTTTATGATTGCTTATTTCTCTTATTAGTGTTTGTGTACCATACGTGATCATTAATAAAGACGGGACATTGGGATTCCCAAGCAGAGTGAACTGTCCTGTCTACTTGGGATTGGCTCACAAATTCTCTACTCCCAAAGCCAGCTTGGGAAATGTAGTGTTTTCTTGGGATATCATAAAGTTATTAAGTCATTCGAGAGCTCCAAATCAGCGATCCTTCCAACTTCTGGGACAATAAGGCTGGGGACAGGAATGGTACCCATTTCCCAGGGTTTTCCTGATGGGAGAGAAGGTCCACCTGGTGGCGGGTGGGTTAGCGGCCCTGGAAGACTTGAAGCTTAGCGGTAGGCTGGAAGCTTGGGGAGCTCGGCGGGCCCTCTGGGCTGCTTTTAGACTGTTTTAAGTTCTTGGCAATCATTTTTCTCTTTTTCCATTATTCAGAGTTTTGGTCTATAAATCATAATAAAAATGAATCATTAAATTTGCCTCAATTGAGCCAGTTTTATTTATTGTTATGTTTGAGAGAACTTGCTAACCTGAAGATTGATGATGGGCCTGGGTGTAAGGGAAGATACTCGAGTAGAAGAAAGGAAGACACAGGAAGACTGGGGCGGTCAGGAAAAGCAGTCAAGGGGTTCGGGCCACAACTCTGCGATGTGCACCCCTAGCCCAGAGCTGAGCATTCTGGGAGAAGAGAAATGTGTCACCCACCGGGCGGAGGGGCTGAGGACACTTGAGGGCCAGGGATATTCAGCCTCAGGTGCGAAGCTCAGGTCCTGAACGTGTCTGTGCAGAGCCTGTGTACACCCTGGACATAGTCGTGCACCGGAGAGCAGAATGTGCAGCCGCATGCGTAACCTGCGGAGGCGAGAAGGGACGGGGCAGGAGTGCGAGGCTAGAGAGAAGAAAGCAGCACTCGACTGGAACTTTCTCCAAAGATGAGAGCGTGAAGGTAGACCCTGCAGATGGGAGGGAGCCCCGTGCCAAGCGCAGGATGCAGGAACAATAGAGATGGCCCCATTTTGGACGGAAGGAGCTGCGCCGCCGTATTAATATGTATTCCATAAAGCACCTCGCGCTCGCTTGCTAGCTCGCAGCCCCTGCATCGCTCTGTTTTGCTCTGACCGCAGCACCAGCCTCAGGCGCCACAACACAATTTGGAAACAATGTGAGGGAAATGTTTAATCTGCTCGGCCCATCTGTGCTGCGTATTTCTCCAGATCTCCCTGAGAGAGGCGCCTCGAATCTCCACATTGCCTTTAATATTCTCCTAAATCACCTCCCCACTGCACTTCAAGGGCCATTGCTACAATATCACAGGTTCATCGGGAGTGCAACGGGGAGGGGTCGGGGGAGGCGCAGGCCGGGAGATTTTTTATTTTAAAATAATTTCCAGAGACTTTTTTTTTCTTCTTCTTCTGCTTCCTTTAGAAAAAAAAAAGAAGAAAAGTTATTCTACTGTTGCCGTAAGGTTATTGAGGTTGTTTGGTGCAAAACAGGCTAGGATAGAGTAGAATCATTCTCCAAAGAATTATTTTTATTAATCTCCATTCTCTCCATTGGACACGGGAGGGGCGGACAGCCTCTTTCTCTCCTCCCTTTCTCTCGCACCTTGCAAGGGTGAGGTTGCTTATTTGGGGCCGGGGCTTCTCTCCTTGACACCCAGGGTATCAGGGTCCCCGGCCGACCCGGTCCCCGGCCCTGGTCTAACAAAGCCGTCCTGTTCAGGACAAGGGTGTACATTTAGTCTCTGGCCAACTCGCCCCCATCCGGAAAGGACACTTTATATTTTTAATTCCGATTTTCGCTTTTTAAGTACAGATGTTGGGTGTCAGATTTCTGCCACCTTTGCCCACTTGGTCGTGGCAGATTCAGCTCTTTGGGGTTCCTGGGATGTAGGAGGTTGGAGCGGATTTCGGAGACCGGGAGAACAAGTCACTACGTTTCAGACTCTAGACAAATGGAAGAAGAGTTGCACATCACCAAGAAAATTAGGATTCCTTTTGCTTTGTGAATTAAATAAATGAATAATTTAATCCTCAAGATTGTTCCGGCCGCGAGGGAAAGGCAGCGTCCCAGTTGCGGAGCCCTGCAGCCGGTCGGCGTGTTACATCATCTGCACACATAGGCGTTTCCATGACAACAGCTTATAGCTTCATTTCCTGGATCCCTCTAGGGGGTGTCACAGCCAGATCCACCTGCTTTTCACCCTACCCTCGGTGGGGTCATGGTAAGGTCGCCAGAATAAATGAACGCCGGTACTAATGATCTGTTTACTGCTGTTTATGCTCGGAGTGTCAGGGGCAGGCACATTTAGAGAGCTCATTATGGTTGCAATTAGAATGCACCATCGCTAGATATTTAACTCCTTTTTCTTTTAAATTAGCATTTTAATAACATTCTTTGAGCAGAGAAACAAAATGACCATTTTTCACGGACAAACTTCTAGCTGTAGGTGCAACTTTAATGGCAAAGTTGTGAAGGGAAAAGGAGGGGGAAAGGCCATTTTTACCACTTTCACTCTCCTCCTTTACCAAAAGGATATTTTTATTTGCTTTCTAACACACTCAATTTCCTAAATTTGTTTTGAATCCAATTATTTTGGGTGGTTTAAAGTACTGCACTCTTGTTGGACGGAAATTAGCAGCGAATGAAATTAACTTTTTATGTGACCTATGAAAGGGGCTAAAATAATTACAAGTGTGAGCGAGAAATCCTCTCTCCAAAAGGCCAGGTGGGAGGATCTGGGTGTGATCTGATGATATCATTATCGGAAGATCTTTCCGGTACAAAAAAGCCAGGGCTTTTTTTTTCTCTTTACAGAAGCGACTGGAATGATTTCTGCTTTATAATTCTGAGAACTGACTGAGGGAGGTTAAGTGACAACAAAAACTTGTCACGATAGGGTAAATAAAGCATCAGAAAGAGTGAAAACAAGAATGACCCTCTAAAAATGATCAGATCTTGGAAGCTCCAAAGCGGCAGAGTTGGAACAGGACAGAAAGAAGACAGTACCCGTTGGGATAAAGCATTACCTTTTAGGATCCCACCCACGCCTTTGCAAGGTGAAAAATAACAATTTGAATGTTTCGATTATCTTTCCCCGTCTGTTCCATTTTCATTATTTATTTCCTATAAATCGGGACCTTGCTGAACATAATTCTGCAGACAAGGAGGTGGATGGGACAGGCGATTCGAACGAGGAGATGAATGTGGGTTTGTGGGAGACGCCGCGCTTAGGGGAAGGAGCCGTGTGAGAACATCCAAGCGGTGGAGCAAGCACGAGTGTGAGCTCTATTGAGTGCTTACAGACGGGAATCAAGGCGCCAGTGAGATGATGTGGGAACAGGCACGGAGGCCTGCTTCTTCCTCCCCTCCTGGATCCATGTCCAGGTTCCGCCCTGAGATGTCCCAAGCTTGCTGGGGCTCCTGCCAGCCTGGAGACCCCTTCCATGACCACAGCTGGGGACTTGGGAGGTCAATAGTTGAAATGCAAGAGTGAGAAAGAGAGATCTTTATCCACAGCAAAACAATCCCCCTCCCCCTCCCCAACACAGGGGGAAGAAAAAAAATTAAAGACACAGGGAGGGGTGGGGACAAAAAGGAGCCTTTCTAAAAATGCAAGTTTCAAATATTTATCCTTTCGCACCTTTGAATCTGCCATTTCATAAATAAAATACAGATGCATAGAGTATAATTTGGTGATCGCTACCCCAGGACATATCTAGATGCACTTCTGTTATTTTAATTAAATACTGCATTATGGTTTGTGACAACTACACAGCTATAGCGTAAATGAATTCGGAATTAAAGTGTTACTTAGGCATCCAGTAATTTTTGTTTCATTCTTTAGGTTTACAAAGCAAATAGCTATAAAATCAAGATGTTTGTTCATTTACAGATGGAGTAGGATTATTGTTGCTGGGTTGGGTTTTTTTTGTATCCTTAATCCTCATGCTCAAAAAGAAGAACTCCGAATCTGGCTTCCAACACACTCAGCTTACGAGCCAGATCACAAAGAAAGAACACATCCATCCCCTTGACTAGAATGTGAAATGCTGAATATTAATTGCTGGTGTTATGCTTATCTTTCCGCCCGGTTCTGTCTTCTAACATTCATTCTGATGGCCTGCACTCTTGCATTGCCTGGGGAGGTCTCCTTTTTGTAAAATTTTATTTTAACAGTTAGAAACCTAGTAGGTTTTATTTTATTAAAAAAGAAATGGAAAGTTTAGAATGCTCCATGGAAGTTTTTAGCATCTGAAACTCTTTCCAATACAGAATCTAAGTAGGAACTGAGAAACCACTGGGTCTCTCTGCTTAAGAGATTCACATTTCTGCACCAAAAAGAAAAAAAAAAAAAACCACACACATTTTCCCATTTTAGCCATATTCACATTTCCTTAGTGAAACTGAAGATGTGATTTGATATAGTCAATTGGTTAGTTTAAATGCCACATCTGTAGAAAATCATGAGAAAAAGTTCAGAATCTTCTCATCCATTAGGTGTAGATTTTTCACTCAATATTAAGATGATAGAGTAAAAAGATTTTTGCTCAGCTCTGAGGACTTAATTGTATCTGGCATGTGTAAAGAGGACAATATTTAACGGTAACTTTTCTGAAGCCCTTGTCTGTTATTTCTAATCTGAGAACCAAGAGGGCCTTTTCATTAGCCTTAAATACCATACATCTGTGAATACCTGCAAATTCCAGCTTCCTGTGTTCTAATCCCACAACAAATCCTATAACCTGCACAGAAATTGCTGCCACGCATGTTTGCCATGAGGCCACCATTTGCTTCCATATTTTGCCCGTTTGGCTGGAGAGCTACATCAAGAAATTCTAGTATCAAGAGACTCTAAAAAAAGAGTAAAAAAAAAGAGAATAAACCAAAAGGAACTCCGGCAGAAAGGCTTTGGGTGAGGCTGAGTTTCTTTTGAGAAAATAATTACAGAGAAACAAAGCTTTTGTGACGCCTTTTAAATAGGGCATCTCACTGAAATGTCATCCAGCCTCTTTGGCAGATTAGTGAGGAGTTTATTACTAAATCTCTGTCTAATAAACGTGTGGCTGGCTCTGGAAAGCTGCTTGTTATAATACTGTCGGCGGGGAACGGAGGGAATGTCACAGTTAAAGACCCAAATTTTCCCTGTAATATATTCGAATGGAAACCTCTGAATCCAATACTACATGGGCATATCTAATAAATTCACAATATTTCAGTCTCAACAGCCTTCACCGGTTAGTTTTAAAGATTTATGTGGTAAAAAATTACTCAGTGATGAATATGGTTTATTCTGTACAGTACTGGAGGTATAAGGAATTAAACTACCGTCTTTAAGAGTGAATTTATTATTACCTCTGTCAAAAGATGAAGCCTTTAACAGCATTTGTTATAAATTCACTGCAAAATAAATGGCTGGAATTTTTTTACACTGGAGTTTGGAAAGCATCACGTGATTCGGAGGGTTAACCTAGCCCTGCGATGGCTTCTCTGGTTCCAGGTAAACATCTGTTTAGGCCTTGTAGTTAATTATCTGGCTCAAGACTTTCCACCTGACTGCAGGGTGCATGCGTGTGCGTGTGTTGTGTGTGTGTGTGTGCGCGCACACGCGCGTGTTGAAAGTGAACAGTCTTGTCTAGGGCAACAGTTTAGGAATAAGGAGATTAAAGAGGAAAATGCCACTTATATTCTCCTTTTAAAAAATGGGTTTTCTCACAAATAGCCGGGATGTGCGGATGAGGGCCTAGTTAGCGGTTTGCACACGCACACACGCAGCCCCCCCCCCCGCCCCGCTCCCTTTTGTCCTCTCTTGGAATGGATGTCCCCTCATTTATAAAAATTACCTGGAAGGAATGAGGCTGCCAGGGTTTGTTCTACACGACTGGCTCAGCGTGGGGGCCTGGATGTGACCGGTGTGTGACCGTTGCCTTCCGCCTGACCCCACATCCCGTCCCCAGCCTCCTGACTCGGTGGCCTCCCTCAGGGGTTATTGATGGGAGAAGACACCCCATCACCATCAGCATGGTCACCACGGCACAGCGCCGACCTGCTTGTTAACATGAAATGGGGCGGCGGGCCTCGCGCGCCTCTCCGGCCCATCATAAATAAGGACAGATATTTCCCGCTCGCTCGCTCGCTCGCTCGGGGAGGTCAGGGGTGAATGACGGCCCTCGGACAGGGATTGATCGGCCGGGCCGCGGACTCCCCACTCCCTATCCCAACTCCCCGCCCGCCCGCCCAGCCCCCAGCGGCCGCTCCTGAGCGACCCTGAACGGACACTAGATGTCACCAGACACCTCCTTTCCCTCAGCCCCGGAATTAGAAAAAAAGAAAAGAAAAAAAAGAACTTTCACTGAAAGCGGCTGAAGGAATTAACTTCTCTGTTTTGATGAGGGTCGTGGTCACTTTCAGCTAAGCACGTTCAGAGGAGATGGGTCTGCCCAGGGGCTCAGCTCTGCATCCTGCAGCTCTCTCCTGGACAGGACGTCCGGAGAGGGAGAGGCCTGCGTGGTAAACACTCCTTCCAGGGGTAGTTGGAGAGAAGTGGGTTTAAAAGACCCCATCCCAACAGACAGGGCGCTCAATTCACGTCGTGGCCGGGCTGGGCCCGCTGCTTAGAGGCTGGCGTTGGGGCGGAGTCTGGTCTTAGTCTAAGCAGCTCCAGCCCAGGTCACAAAGGAGGCCAGGGAAAATTGACCTTGTCTAGGGGCCTCGTTTTCATCATCAAGAAGAGCCCGCACTATGTTGCTCTGTGGCTGGTTTCCACAGAGAGGCAGCACTGGGCGAGTCTGGAGCACCAAACCCAGGCCCAGGAGATACAGCCTCCTGCCTCAGTTTACCTTACGCTCAGGGAGGGTGCCCGTTTCCTTTCTAGTCCATGAAGAAAGAGCTTTTCTGGGCTGGGGATTTAGCTCAGTTGTGGCGCACCTGCCTCGAAAGCACAAGG